GACTGCTCTACTCTCGGAAATGTGGATAGGGGCAGGTAATGAAGCCGTGTACTGTCAGATGTAATAGTGATCCTATGTAACCTGCTGTATGGAGGATCGCTGTTATGACAGGAGGTGGAGATCACAGAGAGCCGCATCTCCTCCCTGCTCTCTCCTCTCTGCCACTCCTGTTTTAGCTGTTTACTTTAGATAACTGCGGCCAGCCATGAGTGCAATATAGTGTATATAGTGTATGCATATGTAAAGTGCAATATAGTGTATATAATGCAGTTGTATGTAATGTACAATATAGTGTATATAGTGCAGGAGTGTGTAATGTACAATATAGTGTATATAATGCAGTTGTATGTAATGTACAATATAGTGTATATAGTGTATGCATATGTAAAGTGCAATATAGTGTATATAATGCAGTTGTATGTAAAGTGCAATATAGTGTATATAATGCAGTTGTATGTAATGTACAATATAGTGTATATAGTGCAGGAGTGTGTAATGTACAATATAGTGTATATAATGCAGTTGTATGTAATGTACAATATAGTGTATATAGTGTATGCATATGTAAAGTGCAATATAGTGTATATAATGCAGTTGTGTGTAATGTACAATATAGTGTATATAGTGCAGGAGTGTGTAATGTACAATATAGTGCAGGAGTGTGTAATGTACAATATAGTGTATATAGTGCAGGAGTGTGTAATGTACAATATAGTGTATATAATGCAGGAGTGTGTAATGTACAATATAGTGTATATAGTGCAGGAGTGTGTAATGTACAATATAGTGTATATAGTGCACGCATATGTAAAGTGCAATATAGTGTATATAGTGCAGGAGTGTGTAATGTACAGTATACTGTATAGAGTTCAGGAGGGTGTAATGTACAGTATAGTGTATATAGTGCAGGCATATGTAAAGTGCAATATAGTGTATTTAGTGCAGGTGTGTGTAATGTACAGTATAGTGTATATAGTGCAGGTGTGTGTAATGTACAGTATAGTGTATATAGTGCAGTAGGGTGTAATGTACAGTATAGTGTATATAGTGCAGGAGTGTGTAATGTACAGTATAGTGTATAGGGTTCAGGAGGGTGTAATGTACAATATAGTGTATATAGTGCAGGTGTGTGTAATGTACAGTATAGTGCAGGGGTCCTCAAACTTTTTAAACAGGGGGCCAGTTCACTGTCCCTCAGACCGTTGGAGGGCCGGACTATAGTTTAAAAAAAAAAAACAAACTATGAACAAATGCGGCCACAGTACAGGAGATGACCAGAGACTGCGGACATACAACGGCGGCGGGGAATACTGGGCCGGCCCGCTCCATAAGATGCACACACATTTCCCCCCAAGTGTGTCTTATGGAGCGAAATAGTGCCCCATCATTGGTGTCAGTGGGAGGAATCGTGCCCCATCATTGGTGTCAGTGGGAAGAATCGTGCCCCATCATTAGTGTCAGTGAAAGGAATAGTGCCCCATCATGGGTGTCAGTGGGAGGAATAGTACCACATCATTGGTGTCAGTGGGAAGAATCGTGCCCCATCATTAGTGTCAGTGGGAGGAATAGTTCCCCATCATTGGTGTCAGAGGGAAGAAACGTGCCTCATCATTGGTGTCAGTGGGAGGAAACGTGCCCCATCATTGGTGTCAGTGGGAGGAATAGTTCCCCATCATTGGTGTCAGAGGGAAGAAACGTGCCCCATCATTGGTGTCAGTGGGAGGAAACGTGCCCCATCATTGGTGTCAGTGGGAGGAATAGTGCCCCATCATTGGTGTCAGTGGGAAGAATCGTGCCCCATCATTGGTGTCAGTGGGAGGAATAGTACCCCATCATTGCAGATATGTAAAATACAGCGCTGTATAGTATTTGCAAATGTAGATGACAGTAGTAAACTACAAATGGAAGGTCACACAAGAAATACAGTCCTATATTGGTGCTCGTTGTTTTTCCAGTGCAAATGATAGAAATGCGCACTAACCAGAAGCGTATAGCTAATACACAGATATATAGATATCCTGAAGATTCCCCTCTCTTTCTGGTCAAAGTGTAGATTAGGAACTGGAAAATGTAAGGATGAAGCGCCCTCGTGTGGTGAAGATGAGATCCAACAGGCCAGAAATATCCTTGCAGAGATGCATGAAATGTTCCCCCTCTCTGGAACTGGTATAAGGATCACACTGGGGCTATAAAGGTTGAAAGGCTCCTCACAGGAGACACAGGGGAGAAACTCATAGTGTAGTATGTAAATAAATGCTTTATTCATCAAAGAAGCATGGGTAAAAGAATCACAATAGTGCCAGATGCATATGAATGACTGACCCTCCAAGATCAAAGATGGCCGCCGGGCCTCCACGTGGCACTGGCGGCGTGATAATACGACGTCCTGGGCTCCACGGGACGCATTTCGTGCACACGCACTTCTTCTGAGGTAGAGACAGAGGAGCGCCATGACTGTAGCGCCATCCTTATATATAGTAAATGGCGCATGCACACTCAATCGGCGCCATCTTGCCGGAGTCAGAGCGGCTGTGATAACTCAGTGCGCATGTACGGCACCATTTTACCATGAGCATAATACAATATCTCATTACAGCTAATGTGATGAAGAGTGACAGATCTCCAATCGTACATGGGGGTACAATTGATACTAATAGTCAGTAATGTGAAGCTATTCTCAAAAGGTACTAATTGGTCAATTTAATGTCAAAATAATAATGGAATATAATGATCAATATTATCAAAGAAAAAAAGAAAAAAAATAATGCTGTGTAAAATAGAGAGGGAAAAAATATATCCATATGGTGCATTATATATCAAAAAGGGTAAAAGTGTATGATAAAAGGTAAGTATTAAAATTAATTTATGAAAGATATCAATAATTATTCAATATAGTACCCGGGAGAGATCAAAAATAAATAAATAAAACTACCAAATAAATAATAAATAATCAAAAAAGGTTATAAAAGGAAGCCTCATGGTAAAAAGGCATAGCATAAAATTAGTGAATTTACATGCATAATAAATACGACCACAATATATAATATAATAATAAAGTAAGTGGCTCAACAGCTCGAATATATACAAAAAACGAGCATACATAATAAAAATGGAATATGCATAAGATGAAAATTGCATAAAAAATGTTATATAAAAAAATAAATAATATAGATATAAATGTCACTTGTAATTGTTTATGTGGAATGTATATATATAACAGGATATTTGAAAGAAAAAAATGTGAAAGAAAAAATAGAGCCCAACTGTTGTCTATATAGCAATTGACATCAAGTTCAATGTTGAGTCCTGCTGGGTAAAAAGTATCTAATTCATAAATAAATCTCGTCTCTAATTGTGAGACGGCCCTGGTCTTAAAAGTTCCTCTCCAATGGGGAGTAACAGTATCAATGCCAATAAATTTCAAACTAGTGGGGTCTCTATTATGGCATCTCCTATAATGAAGGGACAAAGAGTGTTCTTTATATTCTCTTTTGATATTATTAATATGTTCCCGGAGGCGATCCCTGAGTCTCCTAGTTGTTCTTCCCACGTATTGTGTGGAACAGGGGCACTCCTGCAAGTACACCACATATCTACTATTACAACAGATAAATTTATCGATTTTATAAGATCTGCTGGTTTGATTGGAAATAAAAGTGTCAGCTTTCTTCTTTCTCATACCATTACATTTACAGGCAATACATCTATTGCAAGGATAAAAACCAGTATATTTAAAAAGAGTCGGAGATGGAGTGGGTGTGGTGACAAAGTTGGGAGCTATTTTATCCCTCAAGGTGGCAGACTTCCAAAAAATGACTTCAGGTTTATCTGGGAGTATTCTTGCTAAAGTAGAGTCTGCTTTTAGGATGCCCCAATTCTTATTGATAATATGTCTAATAGATCTATGCTGGACCAAAAAAGTGGTAATAAAGGGACAGACCAAATTGTTAGGTGGCTTAGCTTGAGTCTCCAATAAATCACCTCTATTCATATTTGCTACAGATTCCAGGGCATCAGCTAAGACTTCTTTATTATAGCCTTTCTCGAGGAATCTTTCTTTCAGTATATTGGCCTGTGAATAATAAGTGTTAACTTCCGTGCAATTCCTCCAAAGCCTGAGGAATTGTCCCCTAGGAATGCTTGAGAGCCAACTGGGGTGGTGGCAGCTCTCTAGGGGGATATAACTATTACTGTCTGTAACTTTAAAAAAAGATTTAGTAATATTACGCCCATTCAAATTCATTAAAGTAAGATCTAAAAAGTCAATCTCGGTAGTACTGTAGTTGAAAGATAATTTAATATTAATAGTATTATTGTTAAGAGTTTTATGTACGTTTTCCTTTTATGTTCAGCTGCTGACAGTTTGGAGTGCTCACTGTAGCATTTCTTTCTAGTACCCCATCATTGGTGTCAGTTCCGAGGAATAGTGCCCCATCATTAGTTTCAGTGAGGGGAGGAACAGTGCCCCATTATTGGTGTCAGTGGGGGGAAGAATAGTGCCTCATCGTTGGTGTCAGTGTGGGGGGGGGATAGTGCCCCGTCATTGATGTCAGTGGGGGAAGGGGATAGTGTCCCAACATTGATGTCAGTGGGAGGAATAGTGTCCCATCATTGGTGTCCCTGGGGGTAGAATAGTGCCCCATCTTTGGTGTCAGTGGGAGGAATAGTACGTCATTGGTGTCAGTGGGGGGGAATAGTGCTCCGTCACTGGTGTCAGTGGGAGGAATAGTACGTCATTGGTGTCAGTGGGGGGTAATAGTGCCCCATCATTGGTGTCAGTAGGAGGAATAGTGTCCCATCATTGGTGTCAGTGGGAAGAATAGTGCCCCATCTTTGGTGTCAGTGGGAGGAATAGTACGTCATTGTGTCAGAGGAGGGGAATAGTGCCCCGTCATTAGTGTCAGTGGGGGGGATAGTGTCCCAACATTGGTGTCAGTGGGAGGAATAGTGTTCCATCGTTGGTGTCAGTGGGAGGAATAGTGTTCCATCGTTGGTGTCAGTGGGGGGTGGAATAGTGCCCAATCGTTGGTGTCAGTGGAGGGTGGAATAGTGCCCCATCATTGGTGTCAGTGGAGGGTGGAATAGTTCCCCATCGTTGGTATCAGTGGAGGGTGGAATAGTGCCCCATCGTTGTCGTCAGTGGGAGAGGAATAGTGCCCCATCATTGGTGTCAGTGGAGGAATAGTGCCCCATCATTGGTGTCAGTGGGAGGAAAAATGCCCCATCATTAGTATCAGTGACACCAATGATGGGGCACTATTCCTCCCACTGACACCAATGACACGTAACTTGCTGACCCCTGCTCCAGCCTAGGTGCTACTGCAGCCAGCATACCTGGTTGCAGCAGCACCATCAGCACGGCACACTTACCTGTCAGCTGTCCTTCTTCACTCCGGCCTCTCTCTCACTCTCTCTCACCCCGCCTCCTCGCAGGTGATTGGCAGCTTGTGTGCCTTTCCTGAGCTACAGTTCTGGCGCCCAATCACTGGTGAGGAGGCGGAGCCGAGCGGCAGGAGTGAGGGAGTGGCCGGAGTGAATGAAGGAGCAGCGCTTCCTGGACTGGATAGTCATGGGACTGGGACCGGAGCCAGGTAAGGTACAGCAGCCCCCTGCCCACCCCCTGTACTTAGTAGTGTCCCTTCCTGTCCCGCCCCTGCCGGCGGGCCGGATAGATGGCCTCGGCGGGCCGCATGTGGCCCGCGGGCTGTAATTTGAGGACCCCTGGTATAGTGTATATAGTGCAGGAGTGTGTATTGTACAGTATAGTGTATATAGTGCAGGAGGGTATAGTATAGTGTACAGTATAGTGTATAGGGTTCAGGAGGGTGTAATGTACAGTATAGTGTATATAGTGCAGGAGTGTGTAATGTACAGTATAGTGTATATAGTGCAGGAGGGTATAGTATAGTGTACAGTATAGTGTATAGAGTTCAGGAGTGTGTAATGTACAGTATAGTGTATATAGTGCAGGAGTGTGTAATGTACAGTATAGTGTATATAGTGCAGGAGGGTATAGTATAGTGTACAGTATAGTGTATAGGGTTCAGGAGGGTGTAATGTACAGTATAGTGTATATAGTGCAGGAGTGTGTAATGTACAGTATAGTGTATATAGTGCAGGAGGGTATAGTATAGTGTACAGTATAGTGTATAGAGTTCAGGAGTGTGTAATGTACAGTATAGTGTATATAGTGCAGGAGTGTGTAATGTACAGTATAGTGTATAGAGTTCAGGAGTGTGTAATGTACAGTATAGTGTATATAGTGCAGGCATATGTAAAGTGCAATACAGTGTATATAGTGCAGGTATGTGTAATGTATAGTATAGTGTATAGAGTTCAGGAGGGTGTAATGCACAGAATACAGGGGACAGGAGTACATCTCAGCGATGTGCTGCTTTCCTGCAGCTTCGGTGTGTTCCAGCTTGGAGCAGACTTATCAGGTGGAATTGGAAGTGACATTGAATTTCCATATACATCACTTCCAGTGTGCCTGGATGCAGCCACACCTGCCCTGAGGACACTCAGGATAAGGCTGTCGAGAGGTATGGGGGGGTATGTCCCCTCCTCACACTTTGCTGTACCTTTTTGATTGGCAGGCACACTTTCTGCAGGGTAGGTGGGTGGTCCGCCGGGAGACCTTGGGTATATGGGGCCAGACAATGGTGGGTGTCCACATGGCACATGTAGAGAGCAGGTATTCAGTTTGATGTAACCTCTGTGATAGATATAGATGGTTCTGGGTTAGGGGAGGTTTTCTTTCCTTCTGGAATATTTTTTGTAGATTGATATATCCTTTTTCTGTTACATAGCCCTATTTAATCCAAGGGGGTGTTACTTTGGGTTTTTTCTTGCTCCATATGCTGTGGATCTTCATATGTTCATACCTCTCTGGTTCAATTGAGTTGGGGTTCTTTTACTGGAATCAAGTACGTTTGAACTACATATGCCCCTGCTATGGAATAATGAGCCCCTTTTTCTTGAGATATTTTATTTTAGTTTCAATGTGGTTAATGCCCTATGCATGAAAAAATATATGGATGGATTAAAAATTGTCCGTTTTGTACCTTAGAGTTTCCCCATGGTTCCTGAGGGGTATTGTTTGATTCTTCCTGCTGGCACAGATCTTGATGCCATCCCAAGCAGGAATACCCTTTGTATAATCTTGCATGGGCTTGAATATCTTGCCCCAGTAACCCTTATGGGATAATGGGACCCCTGAGATGACATCATATGATTTTTTTTTGCAAAAAGTGATGTGCGTTCATGTTATATCTGTAAGTAACCACTTGTTGGTGTACACAAAACTCATAGATATTTAAAACAATATTACGTCTAAAATGTATTGTATATTCTGTGGATGGTTGGAATTTGATCATTTATGATGATAACTATTTCTGTGCCACTGACCTGAAGAACCAGAGTACCCATTAAATACATTGACCCTCCCTCGTGGGAGCCTAGAAGAAGGCCTCCCATGCACTGTCCATGTATTATTGTGACAGGCAGCCAGGACTTCTCTCCGCGTCTGAGTACAGAGTGAGTGATCAAGGTGTCTGGGACCAAGGCATCTCACAGGAGATGTGATGCAGGTGCCCAGCAGAAGTATGCCCAGTGCAGTTTGCACTATCTTAATAAAGCATAGCTAAAACCAAAAAAGTGTTTAGTTTTGGATAGAGTAGGAAATGGTTAAAATCCCTGGCAGGTTGTTTTTTTTTTGCTGACTATGTTCCATGAAGAGAATGCCTTCACTTCCTGTCCCAGAGACTTCACAGGAACCAAGGGTGTTGCAGAATGACACCACTCATTCACTGTATTTATGGAGAAGTAACGATTGTCGTCTAGGTCAGGAAGTGTGTTAGGACTACAGAACATCTCCCCTCTCCACATTTCCATATTATAGGGAGAAGTTAACTCAAGATCTTTTTTGACCTTCAGAACACATCACAAGTCCCAGGATAGCAGTGGATTACTGGCAGGATCAGAAGATATTTTTGGACACATTGAACCAATATAACAAAACTCTTTTAATTGTATAGTTACATACTAAAAAGGAGCAGATAGTAGAAGTTCATTGTTAAATGTATACCCAAAGTTTTTTTTAAGTCTTGGATAAAAAAAAGGGAAGGGGTTTTAACCCTTTTCTAGCTAGTTTATTTTTTTGCTGTCTGCCCATTTGGGAAAATGTATCTTCACTTCCTGTCCTAGAAACACAACACATACGGGGAAATCAGTATAAATTGAGAGGAGTTCCTTTCTTAGACAGTTGACACTAGAACAGGGGTACCACTTGAAAGATTTGCCTTCACCAAAGGTGACTAGGACAAATGTACCTAGCGTGGACACAGGCAGCAGTACAAACTTGAAAATAACGAACTCTTGTCAACACTATCCCAAATTTGCACTCTCCAGCTTTAGTTAATGAATCCCTATGGGTCATCATCCTTTGTACATTGGCTGATGCCCTAATATGAAACATAGGGGGGTACAATAAATCTTCCAGAATTCTGTTACAAAAGGTTAACCAGGAAAAATTTACATTGCAGTATAAGATTACCTTTAAATCTCTGACGTGAGTCTGAGGCGAGAAGTACAGCTAAACCCAGGCCAATTCCTGAAGAGCATCCTGTGATCAGAACCACCCTCTTCTCCATAAGAACTGCTAATGAAATACAAACCCAGAAAGTAAGCTTCTTTTGTTGGAGGAGACAACACATTCTTCAGTCCTCTTGCTTGGAATCTCTGCTGTTGTGTCTATAGCTGATAGCTCAAGGCCTTCAGCTGGCATTGCCCTCTACTCCTCACTCGTGTACAAACATCTGTGCGTAGAGAAGGAAATATACAACAGTGAAAATGTTCGCACTGGTTTTTCAGTAATTTGTAGTTCTACTGTACTGGGCTGTTTTTAACATTAGCATTCGTTGACCCAGTCATTTGATTAGTCAATGTTTTTAAATATAGCAAATATTAAAGCAGAGTAGGTACTTTAATCCCTCTACTCCTCACATGACCAACTGTCTTGCAGGGGTCCATCCTCTTCTTTCCCAGCATTGGTGTAGTGCGGGTCTTTCCTGCAGAATAGAACAGCACTCACCCCTATGGTGAGCCTAGGCCAGTTTTATGATGCACCCCAGGGAGTGTGTCCATAACAGTCAGGGAGTAAGTCAAATTATGCAGGGTATAACTGAGCTTAAAAGAGGACTGGTACTAGACCATGAAGTTGAGAGTCTGCATATAACTGAGTGTTAGTCCCCTTCAGAGTTTCTCCTGCTGCTTTTTTTGCTTGTGGGCTGGCTGCCCCTGCCCACTTGTTAGCATGGGTTAGTACTAGAGATGAGCGAAGTATTCAAAAATTCGATTCGGCTGATTCGGCGAATTCGAGGAATAAATTCGATTCGAGGCGAATATATTCGCTGCGAAATTAACTTATAAAAAGGGTGTTTCTAGGCTTCAGAGAGCCTTTATATTAGTGCAGAACACTGTACCCTTAATTTAAATGCCCTTGGAGTCTGCTGGGGAAGAGAAATAATACTGTCAGTCAGTATGACATGCAGATGAGTGCCGTCGATCTTAGAATCACCGCACACTTCACTCATTTGGGCAGTCACGGGGCCAAAACCAGAGTGTGGAGCCACAGTGTGGCGGTGGAGGCAGCAGCAATGGGAGGCCATACAGCACCCTATGACAAAATGGAACCCACCAGCAGTGTGAGGAGACCTGAAAGTGGCACATGGCAGAGTGTGGCGATGGAGACAGCAGCAATGGGAGGCCGTACAGGGACCCATGAGACACTCTGGACCTGGCAGCAGCATGAGGAGGTGGTACAGGGGCCCATGACAGATTACGGGCCTGGCAGCAGCATGAGGAGTCGGTACAGGGGCCCATGGCAGATTACGGGCCTGGCAGCAGCAATGGGAGGCCCGTAATCTGCCAGCACCCTATGACAAAATGGAACCCACCAGCAGTGTGAGGAGACCTGAAAGTGGCACATGGCAGAGTGTGGCGATGGAGACAGCAGCAATGGGAGGCCGTACAGGGACCCATGAGACACTCTGGACCTGGCAGCAGCATGAGGAGGCGGTACAGGGGCCCATGA